TTTTGAGGATTTCCCCCTTTTCGGAGGTGAGTAGGTAATCTAAAACAATCTGCTCTGAACGTTCAACCATAATACTATACCCTATAAATTATGTTGTCATTTTATCTTTAAGTAGTTTTGGGCTGGGGTTTGGGGTTCAGGTCTTGGGCTTTTGGGTTGAACCTCAACGAACAAACGTTCTCAGCAAAAAGTGATGTTGTTGAGAAGGTTTTTCTGTTTTAACACGAATTTCGTTTCCTCATACACACGCTGGTTTGGCGATGCTTTGACAAATTTGATTTGGATGAAATAGTGCGACCGCAGTCGGGACACTTGAACGGAACTTTCAAATTTTTACGGTAGTAATTTTTGAAATAGTCTTCATCTAATGGTTTCTTGTTGTAAGTTCCGTCTGGTTTCCGACGACCCTTTAGGGTCGTTGAGAGTGGTTCTACCATGTCCCACCTGCTTTGATTGTTTTGTGGGGTGTTGTAGTGCTTCAACCATTTGGTCAATCATGTCTTCCTCCATCTCTTTCTTAACTCCGTCTATCACTAAATAGCAAGGCATCAATATCTTAATTCTATTAGGCGACTTTTCTTTAAGTGTTTTTGGCGCGTTTGGGTCGGGCTGCGTGTTGTTGGGCGGTGCATCCGTGTGTAGGGTGAGATGTAGTGATGGGGTGTTCCACGAAATCTTCGCTCAAAATCCCTGTTCCTGCCACCCTTGAGCAAGCTAGTTAACCTGATGAACGGATGGGAGTGATGTAAAAAACTGTTTTAAAGGGGTCATCACTCCCAAAGGAACTCGGTTTCCCCCCAAAAGGTTAGGAACTCTTCGCTCCTCATCACCACCAACCACCCTTTCTGCTATTACCTACTTGTATATATATATATATAAACAAAACCCAAAACTCAAATTTCCAAATACAAAAAATCAACAGGACTCTTGGGGAACTGGCCGGTGGGGTATGCTTTTGGGTCAATGCCACAATGCCACGATCGCTCCCCCATCCGGTCAGCCCCCCTTCTCCTTCTTCTTCCTTCTCTCCATCAAACATTCTAACTTGGAAACGCGCGAGCGACACCACCGCTCCCGAACACACCAACGCCACTTCGTGATGGGAAAGAAGACGACCCTTCTGAACGGACAGGTTGAGCAACGGATACGTGGGATATGTCTATAAAATATAACTAATTACATAGCTCATTACATATATTTATTTGTGTATCATCTCCGTGAAGCATGTAGCTATGATACATATATAAAGAAGTCTCCAAAACAACTCTTTCGTGAAATCTTTACCGATGAGTTTGTTTAAAGGAAATGTTTGGTAAAGCCACTCCGTCCAAGTTCTGGTTGAATCGAAAGCCAACTGTCAAAGTCTGGAGGCTTTGAGGCCAACTACTCCATCCAAACTCTGGTTGAAAGAAGGACGGACACCCCTTCAAGTTGTTGGTGTTCCCGATGTCTTCTTAACCTCAGTGTGGGCAGAGCAAACTGAAGTGGTGAAGAAGAAATGGGAAATTCCCCAAACTATCTGCCGACGATGACGCATCAAGACAAGGCATACAAAAGCAGTGTCCAGTTAGGAGGCTTTTTATCACTGGCGACGATGAATTCAAGCGTCTTTACTGTCGGTTGGATGGACTTATAAAGTGCTAAATGCCATCGGAACAATAGCCTTTCAAGCAAAGGCTTGAGGAAACGACACGGATATAGTCCAAATGGTGTCCAATCAATGACGCCAAGGGCTTCTGTGCTGTGTCAATGGGTCGTGCAACGCGAACCCCAACATCTTGCGCGTTGATACTCTGTTTGGGGTATCATTGATACTTGGTTACGGGTATCGTTGATTTTGGATACTGGTATCATTGATACTTTGTTTTGGGGTATCATTGATACTTGGATACTGGTATCAGGGTATCGTTGATACTCTGTTTCTGGTATCATTGATACTTGGATACTGGTACCAGGCTATCATTGATACTTGGTTATGGGTATGATTGATACTTGGATACTGGTATCAGGGGATCGTTGATACTTGGTTTTGGTGTATCCCTGATGGGGAAATCTGCTCTCAATTGGAGTAAGTGCTCGGAAACAAGGCAAAGTGGATGCATAAATTCTGGTGATTGTTAAGGGGTATAGTATAGTCCGCGAAACTGGGATGACGCGCACAAAAAGGATATGGCACAATCAAGAAAGCAAGGCTGACATGACAAAGCCGGACATCTGCAAAGCAACAAACACTTTTTAAGCGAGGCAATTTGGGGTGTCTCCAACTATACAAATACACGCATGGTGAAACGGAATGGAAGTGAAACAACAAAGCATCCTCACCTTTTCGGAACAGGTGAGCAAATCATGCATTTGATCTGGCTGGCTAAAGCCAGAGCAACTGGTTTGTCAGCCCTGACACTCTCCAGCATCTCCACCCACAGCTCCTCGGGGGCGTCCAAGATCTGTTGCTGGCTGAGATCCTTCAATATCCTTTCGGCAAAGCCCGTCCGAAGCTTGATCTCCTCTTCGGTGATCCTTCTCCTTTGAGCGGAGAGCCTGCTCAAGGGGCTCTTCCATCCTCTTTTTCATCAGCTCTACATCCAGCTCTGCCCATGACCTGTCATACTTCACGGGGTAGGGCAGGTGGAAGTCCAGCTCCCACCGATGGAAGGGTTGCCCCGACAAAGTCCTCCACCTGCTCTTCGGTAAGTTCCTGCCTTGCAATCTTGTCCTCCACGAGCTTGTACATGCCAAAGTTGCAACTACACTTCTGGAACAACTCCATGTCCAAGCCTATCACACCTTGCCCAGACACCTGCTCCGCGATGACCCTGTCAAAGCGAGCGCCTTGGTTCAAATTGAGCAAGGTCTGAGAGCCAGCATCCGAGTTGCAAACGAAGATCACCCGGGCAAGGTTGTCTCGGGTGCGCTGGTTGGTCAGTGTGTTTGCCCAGTCGAGCTTGCACTGGGAAGCGCTTCAGGAGCTCTTCAAACTGATCCACCAGCACCATGGCAGGCTTGGGGGTGATGGGTAGTCCAACACGCTCCAAGACCATCCGAAACCATTGCGATTCGCTATACTGAACCAAATTGTAATCAATCTCAGAGCCTCCGGTTGCAGTCATGCCGAACATTTGCGTCGTCAGCCATTCTTCGAAGCTATCCACGCTTTTGCCCTTGCACCATTTAGGTAGATGCCATGATAAGCGAAGAGACCATATCGGCGCCACCATGGGATGCACTCGCGGAGCAGGGTTGTCTTCCCTTCCTGGTTTCTGCCTTGCAGGATCAGGGCTCGGCGTGGCCGGACGAGCTGATAGGGATTCAGGTTGAATTTCACCACAGGTCGTGCAAGGTGGGCACCGGTTCGCAAAAACAAGCGTTGGTGGACGTGCGCCAGGATACAACCTGCTCTTGACCAGTGTTGTCATACCACCAGCACCTGCCATTGCAATTCCTGCCGTAAGCACATTCAGTCCAAAGGTGGTATCTTCCCGAAGTTCATTCCACTTCATCCTCCAACTCGTTGCCAAATCACCACTGCTTCAGTCAGCCATGGCTCGACTCTACTCACACCAAAATTATCTTGAAATTCTAGCTTGAACAAAACACGTGAGAAAAACACGTCTTGGGATTGCCGGGGCGGGTCTGCAAATGGTGAGTTTGCACCAGAAAAAAAAACACCCAAACCCCTCTGCCAAATCGGGCAACCGGACAATGAAATGATGAAGGTATTGAAGGCGGCGAAGCAAACGAGGCCGTGGTGTTATGCAAGCCAAATCCAAAACAAAAACACAGCAAACCTAAGCAAAGCATAACCTCATCTTAAAACCAACTGCCCCAGAAAAGTTAGAACCCCAAAAACCCCAGAACCCCCCCACACATAAAACATCAACAGCAAGGAAAACACATTGAACATCAACAAAAAATCATAACAAGCAACACACCAACAAATCCTCCCCAGAACCCCCCTTTTACCATTTTTCCCCAACACCTCACAAAACAACCGGGACGCAATAGGCTGTACTCTTCAAACCTTGGAACTCTGAGACATGTTGTCATTGTCTCTAATGAGAGTCCCGCAGGCAAGCAGTCCAGGCTACACTCCCCTTTAACCCTATGGTCCATCATAGGACGTCCCTGATTGATGGCAATGTCCTGTGGCAAGTCCCACTTCGTGTGCAACTGCAAGGGCTGCTTGATCCACACCCGTCTGCCCTCCCGCAACAACTCCTGAATGCATCAAGAGTTTGGAGTCTGAAGAAAACATGTGCAATTCTTCTGCCGGAACCTTGGGCAAATGCATGCTTCACCTTTAAGAAAACAGTGCATTGTTTGAGGCTTGATTCGACCCTCCTGTCATGTTCAAATGTTCTTTCTCAAGCTGAGCATGTTGAAGCTTAAACCACCTAGTTGATAATGACTTTTCAACAAAGGGACCCTTGCCACTTGCCCAGTGTGGCTTTCCCAGTAAGCGCAAAAGTTACATGAAAAGCATTCCAACATTCTTTCTATTGACAAAGAACGCTCCAGTGGAGTTGGCATCGCAAGCACCAAGGAGCTTGCACCAGCAGCGCAGAAACGCCAGATGCCCATGGGATTCAACCAGTGCCGGTGCTGTTTGCAGAATCAACTGTGATCCATGGACCCTCCATGGATTAACAGAAAGGTTGTCTGTTAGAAACGGTGCGAGTACTGGCAGAGACTGGTCCAGTCTTCCTACCTTGCCAGCTCAACTAGAAAAACATCCACCACTGAATTTTCAAGCAATTCATCAACGCTGCGAAGTCAATACATGTTCAGATCAGACAAAAGAGAACAAGCAGGTCACTGGGAACTCTTCATGTGAAAGCAAGATGCAGCTGAGTGCGTTTATTGCTGCATCTGTCTCACCCCCATTTTGCCTGGATGAAGAAGTGGCCAAGCCATCAGAGTGTTTAAAGTCATCGTTCTGCAACTCGAAAATTACCAAAATGTCCACTACCAGCCGAGCTCGCGAAAAATTATGCCAGGAGTGCTCTTCTTCTGCCATCTTTGCCTTGCAAGGCCAACAATTTCACCTCTGCACTGACTTTGCTCTACAAGTAGCTAGTGGCCAGTCATGCAGAAAGCTTGAGCGCTTGTAGCATAATGCAACCTCAAACGACTGGCGGCAACGCACAAAGATCTTTCGGCCAAAGCCGACCAAAATCCTTGCATCTTTTACTGTAACGGTTTTTGTGGTCGGTTTTCCAGAGTTCGTCCATCATGATGCTAGTTGATGCGGAAGCTCCTCAGTCACCAAACAGTTTTTCAATTGGCCTTCCACTCTTCCATCTCCTCTACTGTCACGGAGGCCGCTTCAGGCTCATCGTCCTCGTCGGACTCTTCCTCTGCTGCGCAGAGAGTAGCTATGCGATTGCAGGTCATTGAGTATCACTGTCCCACAATGTTGTGAAGAAGCTACTAGGGGCTCCTGGCATCGCTACTAGGAGCAAGGACGCTACTAGGGGCTCCTGGCCTTACTACTAGGCTAGTAGCAAAGGGCATTACTAAGGAGTCACAAACAGTCTCCCGGCAACTTCGAAATTGAGAAAATCACTCGGCAAACTAGTCATCTCTGTGTGACTGGTAGGACGTCATCCCCTTGCCGGTCCGGATCTCCCAGAGTAGGACGTTTGGTTTGAGCTCCCGTGATCTCCCTGCCTGCCACTTCTTCCGCTTCTTGGTGCCACCCTTCGCCAGACATTTGTTGTGCCAAAAAACGTGAGTTTAGAGGAATAGATGTATACATGTATACAGTATACAGTATAACCGTATATAGACCACAAGATTAAGTCATATCCTTGGTCTGAGGTATTTTGACCGTTTGTGTATCAAGTTGTACATACAAACCATATCAACCCATTCCAGATGGCCATGGTGCGAAAACGATCTTCTTCCCTTCCCCTTCCCAACACTGCCTTCGAGGCTAGGTCTTCTCTCTTCCGTCCCAGCATCCCGGCCTCAGGTCAAAGGAATTCTCTCTCGAACTGTTCCCCAAGATTCTTGAGATGTCCATCACCTGGTTCCCTCCGCGCCAAAGATGGTCCGAATGCGAAGACGCAGTTTGACCATAGACAACAACAGGTTCATCAGTTCATCATCCAGGTCGTCCCCTCTCCCTTCAAAAAGCACCACATTCTCCCACAGCGTGTGGCCCGGACGGACAACAGTCTGGAAGCCACAGCTTGTGACCGTTAAACCGTCGCCCGTGATCAAAAGTTGATGGAGTTGCTAAAATTGCAAAGCTTGCTAGCACCAATCAACCAATGACAAATTGAACATTCTCTTCTAACAAAGCAGCCGTTCTCCATTCCGAACCAACCCTTGCAGCTAAGGAACAGCGCATGGTGCAGCGCAACGTGCGCCACAGTGTCACACAGTGCTCACTCGCTGGTGGGGTTGCCAGAGACAGCTTGGGGTTGCCGCTAGCTTCAGTAGGGTGGTTAGTGATGGTAGGCTAGGGAGAAGTCTTCTGTATCTGCTCCGTGTGGACAGAACAGGCTTCAGTTTTCTGTGGCTTCTCTCGGGGCGTTGAACAAGCTGGGTTTACCTGAAGGCATCGCCTGCTCAAGGCATCGCCAGGGTACCAGTCGGTACCGATCCTTTGTTCAACAGTTTTCGTTGTCTGCAGGAAAGAATGGATCAAGCTGCTCATGGACCAACCTGGTCGTGACTGATGCTGGTGGTATTTGAGGTTCTTGAGCCCAAAACCGTCGTATCAGTGGTGTCTTTCAGCCGTCTTGGAGTCTTGGAATGCCATTTTGGCATGACCAATAGTCGGTGGAGCTGGGTCCCTTAATTTCACGTTCAATAGTTCCTCTTGGCTTCTTATAGAAGGGCTAGCACCGAGCAACCTTGATTCAAAACCTGTGTTCAAACTGTCGTTTAGCACACTCCCAAAGCTACTCGGGCTCTCTTTCTCCAACCGCAACTATTCAGCTTCTGCTTCTCGGAGTGCTTGACGAGGTGTTTCCTCATCCTGGGTGGAAGCCAAACAAGGAACAAAGCCTTTGCTTCAGTCGAACATCTGAAAACGTGGATGCATCTAGAAAGTTATTTGACATGCAGAAAAGAATCAAAATAGATCGAAAGTACTGTTGAACCACATTTGTGCGCCTAATGCATGGTGTTACCGTGCTGTAACAATGAACCTCTGTTCAGCTTAGTTGGCTTCTCCACACATTCGACAAGCCTTTCTGCTGAGTTGGTCAGATCTAATCTAACGTCCCAGTGGGTCTCGTATGCGAACAACTTCTTTGGCATTAAGTTGGCTGTGTTCGAAATGCGTATCCAAGAAATTGCCCAACTGTTCTTGATCTGCAATTTATCCACACCCAGTTGCGTCTGGGCTCACTAAGTGTGAAACCTCCTTTTTCAGCTCTGCATTCGCCTTCTCAAGGGCCACTGCTGCTTCTTGTGCTGCACTCTTGACCTGCAAGCCGCACTGCAAGCCGCCCAAGGCCAAAAGCACTTCCCTCCTAAAGCCATAAAGCATAAATCAGCCTTCTTGAAACATCTGTGGTCATTACAGGAAAGTTTTCAGGCGACAAGGATGCAGCAAACAAATCTTATACAAGCAATTGAAGTCATCTCACCGGTTCCAACTCCTGCAATCTCGCAAGGCAAAGTTTAGGCCCAAGACATGCTGCTGAAACTGCGCAAAATCCTGTGGCTTTGACTGAGCCAGCAAAACAACATTGTCCTCTCTGCAGCAAAAAGGTGTTTGCTTTAGAGAAGAATGCAAAGAATTGGTCCTTTGGATTCTCCTTCGCAAACTGGTGCGCTGCTTCCTCATTGAACATCAGCGAAGCAAGTAGGGCCATTTGGAAAGCAGTACTTGTTCATCAAACATGTTTTGCCCTGGTTACTGAAGGGTTGGAGAAGTTTTCTCTGCCTCCGCAGATTGCGAGGCTGTCTTGGCATTCTGCAAGAGCTCGGCATACTGGGCAGTGGGTGAACTGGTACCCACAGCAGTTCTTCAAAACTTCACCAGAATAGCTTTGTTGTGTGCTACCGCTCTCCTCGTCAAGGTCTTTGGTTAACAGCCTCAGTGAGCCGAAAAGTTCATTGAGCTTTGGCTGAAGGTGACCAATGTCATTCTAGTGCAATGTGGCCGATGGAAGAGTCAAGATTTTGTAATAAAGTTAGAAGCGTCTACACGCTACAGTAGTCCATGTCAGACATCCTTATGCATCACAAAGTATGCTAGGCATACAGCTGAAAATCATCTTCAACATCTTTCTTGCTGTGCAAATATCTGGCCTCAGTTCCCAATCGTCATGCATCAACCATCAGCTGGAGGGTGCAAGTTTGTGAATGTCACACCTATCCCTGTTTTGCTTCCTCTTCAGCCTGCCTCCCGCCTCAAACGGCCGCCAGATTTACGAAGCAAGGCACGTGTGGACGGCTACAGCTGCAACTCTGCACCGAAGCGCACCTTGGGCAAAGCGGTAGACCGGAAGAGCCGCGCGGTTTCCACTGAGAATGCCGGCCAAATCAGAAGCCATCGCCAAAGCATAGAGCCTCCCAACAGGTTTTGTTTCAATTGAAAAAGGATCACTCCCAGTCTGGTGTGCAGGTACTGTGGTCACATTCACCAAGCTGCGAGCTCTAACTTGGAAGCCTGGACCCCTGCTTGCCTCTCAATGTGGAGGCAAAGGCCTGCTAGAAGGGGCAGCAATGCCGCAACTCGATTTCAGCCAAGGCCACGGTGTGACAGTGTGATCACAAGGGGTAACAAGAACCTACCGCAACTCAATGCATGATGAGATTACATTTTCCATTGCAAAGAAAGGAGCAACAAGAAGAGATCGAACGATCCAACATAAGGCTGCTCTGGTAAGGAAAGTAGATATATAGATGAATTAACACCCACTCCTCATTGGAAACACTCGAGCTGAGAATCGGAGGTGGACGAAACAACGACAGGCGGAGAAGCAGATCAGCCACAAAGGCGAGGCGGTGATGCCCAAAATGAGTCATCTTCGACAGTTGACAAGAAATCAAACCGGAAAACGGGCTCCTCGGAGAAGTGTGGAGACCCAAACCTGGACGAAATCCAGCCTCCCATCCAAACGGAGTCCTGACCTCCTGTGACCCAAGTTCAGTTACTGAAAACTGATCAACCGAGCACGTTAAAGCTGACACAGTGACATCGATTCAAACGGTCGTCGTTGCGCCCAATTCTTTTTAGCTCTCCACACGATATGTCGAGCTGCGCTTGTGGGCTCAAGCGCGTGTGTGATTGTTCAGCATCTTCAATATGAACATGATAGAAATATCGCTTAGAATCTGAGAATATGGATGTCAAATAGGATTCTTAGAAATAAAAAACTTAGAACATAATAGAATGGGAAATTATGGACACTCGCCTCCTCACACACCAACCAGACCTCTCAGCTGCGCAAACGAATCCACTTCATGGATAATTGCTCGCCGAGCCTAAATTCGATGTGCGATGCGCAACGGGCCCTGGATGACGACATCTAATTTAAACCCAGTTGCGGGTCTATGGAAAATATCAATCACCAAACAAAACCAAAAGCTGATATTTGCCATTCTCGGCTGTGGGAATCGATTCAACTGAATCGATTCATTTACAGGTGTCGCGACAAATCTTCACAAAAGGCATCTGTTTCAACTGCCATACGATGCAAAAGGATGTCCAAATCCAAACCCCAAATCCCTCGAAAAGGAAAATGTTGATCGAGGGAAACGACACTTTGAGGTTTTGGTCGTCGACTAAACGATCGCAGTATCCAGGCCCTTGGCTTCTGCAGCGTTTAAAACTCACGTCGCGTCATGTCCAGTTGACGTCGCTGGGCAGTCAGACTCCCAGGAGAAACGATGTCAAAAAAGGGAAACTGCCATTCGATCATCTATCTGACAGCTAGGGCCAGGAAGGAAATTCACTTCACTAAACAACTTATACATACTTCTACGTAGTCTTATGATGTCTTATGTAGTCTTTCCAAAATTGTCACAATTACAGTAAAGCCGTTGCACCCAGAGGAGCTCGACTCTATCCAGCAACCGCGTGCACTTTCTCAGGAGGGCTGCCTTCTGTACCATGAAACGCTCGCTTCGTCACCAACTTGCAGTGTCTGCAACTCATCATTGACTTCAAAAGTGAGTGGGCAAAGCCAAGCACATCTGGAACAGCTAGCAGCAAGTGTTCCCACCTTACTTTGGTCGCTTGAGGGGCTTTCCCTTCTGATCTGGACAATTGAAGTGCCGTCTCGGTGCGTTCAAAGGACTGTGACATGGCCTTGGTTCCTCTATCTGATCTAGCCCCCCCGACTTCTTGCATACACAAACAGCTCGGTCGGCAAAACAGCTTTCCTTAGGAAACCCCTTCTCCGGGTGGATGTTCAGCCCCTTCTCCGACTCCTTCGGAAACCAACAAAGCTGAAGCTAGTTGACTTCTTGAACCCGCCCGCTATGGCCAGCAGAAGCTTCGGTAAGAGAAAGCCTCGCGACGGAGGTGCCGGAAAATCATTCAGAACCGCCAAACAACTTGACGCACTCCTTTGTGCATTTGCACATATTTGCACAGAAATCCAGGAGCACACGATGTCGTCCACGAAGAAAAGTGACCGATGTCGACCGATGTCGAGAACCGCAAAGGACGGAGGGCGAAGACCCGCTTCTCAGACCCTGAGCAGACACTCGTTTCGAAGTCCGACGCCAAGGCGAAATGGACTTGAGGTCCAAACGATCCCAACTTGGAGCACTGAAATTGGTTGAAGAACCAGCTCCCCCAAAATCATGGGTCAGGTGCATTGGATGGGCACCTCAAATGAATAGCACAAGGTTCGACCTTGGTATTGGTTTGCCATTCGTCCTTGACGAGCTGACATCATGTTCATTTTGAACGTACAACAGAAGAGCCCTGAGCCAGTCATGTTTGTGTCACGGGTGTTCAAAATCGACTAGGGAAGGGTTTGTCGTCAGTCGAATCACAAAGTGGTACAGACCCAAAAGATAGAACGATGTGATTAAACGGTAACAATCAACAAAACCAACAACTGTCATGTCTTGTCTTATCTTTTCTTCTTTTTTTTGCTCCCAGTTTCTCTACCACGGCTTGCTGGATCAAGCACTGTATGGTTCATAACTCATAACACAGCCCTCTCTGGGAACTCCCCCGTTGAAATCTCTTGCCTTGATGACCTCGTCTTCTCCTGCACAAGCAAATGCTCAGCCAAGCGTCTCTTGGTAACAGGCGAGTCTCAGTCTCAAGGCTTAGGAACAAACAACTTGGTCAGGTCTTCGAAAGGTCTTCGTGGTCCAAAGCCACTCTGGGCTCAAACTGACCCTACTGACAGTGCTGGGTTGTGAGAAAAACAAGTTGATTCTCAATGAGTTTTCTGTGCCTGAATCTTTGCGAAGTTGATGTCCAACAGGT